TATGTGCCACATTTTCTTAATCCAGTCTATCACTGATGGACATTTGGGTTGGTTCCAAGTCTTTGCTATTGTGAATAGTGACGCAATAAACAAATGTGAAAGCACATTATAATTCACATTACCATCGCAGAAATGGAAATACTTAGGTGCAATGAATATAACAAAATATGCAAGATCTATATGAGGAAAACTACAAGACTCTGATGAAAGATATCAAAGAAGAATTAAATAAATGGAGAGGCCTGGGACCTGGGCTCATGCCTAGGATTCCAGCACTTTGGGAGGCCAAGGTAGAAGGATCACTTGAGTCCAAGAGTTTGAGATGAGTCTGGGCGACATAATGAGACTTATTCTCCACAAAAAAATTTAAAAATTTAAAAATTAGCTTGGTGTGGTGGCACATACCTGTGGTTCCAGTTACTTAGGAGGCTGAAGAGGGAAGATCAACTGAGCCTGGGAGGTTGAGGCTGCAGCCAGCTGTCACTGTACCATTGCACTCCAGCCTGGACATCCGAGTGAGACCTTGTCTCAAAATTAAGTAAGTAAATAAATAAATAAATAAAATGGAGAGATATTCCCTGTTCATGGATAGGAAAGCTTCATATTGTCAAGATATCTCTCCTTCCCAACTTGATTCCATCAAAATTCCAGGAAATTATTTTGTGGATATTGACAAACTGATTCTAAAGCTTCGATGAAGTGGCAAAAGACTCAGAATAGCCAACACAATATAGGAAAAGAACAAAGTCAAAGTCAGGGCCAGGCATGGTGGCTCAAATCTGTAATCCCAGCACTTTGGGAGGCTGAGGCAGGTGGATCATCTGAGGTCAGGAGTTCGAGACCAGCCTGGCCAACATGGTGAAATCACATCTCTACTGAAAATACACAAAATCAGTGGGGCGTGGTGACGTGTGCCTGTAATCCCAGCTACTGGTGAGACTGAGGCAGAGAATCACTTGAACCCGGGAGGGGGAGGTTGCAGTGAGCCGAGATTGAGCCATTGCACTCCAGCCTGGGTGACAGAGTGAGACTCCGTCTCAAAAAAATAAAAAAGTTAATAAACAAACAAACAAATAAAACAAGATATCACTGCATCCTGATTAGACTGGCTAAACTCTAAAACATTAACAACACCAAGTGCCCACAAAAATGTGGAGCATCAGGAATTGTTTCATTGTTGTTGCTGGGGACAAAAAATGGTACAGGCACTTTGGAAGATAGTTCGGCAGTTTCTTACCAAACTAAACAGTCTTACCATATGATCTAGCAATGGTGCTCCTGGGTATTTAAAACAAATTGAAAACTTATGTCCACACAAAAACCTACACACAATTGTGTATAGCATCTTTATTTGTGATCACCAAAACATGGAAGCAACCAAGATGTCCTGAAATAGGTAAACGGATAAACAAACAGTGGCAATTCATAAAATGGAGTATTATTTAGCAATAAAAAGAAATGAGTTGGTTGGGCGTGGTGGCTCATGCCTGTAATCCCAGCACTTTGGGAGGTCGAGGCAGGCGGATCACTTGACGCCAGGAGTTCGAGACCAGCCTGGTCAACATTGGGAAACCCTGTCTTTGCTAAAAATACAAAAATTAGCTAGGCACGGTGGCAGGCACCTGTAATCCCAGCTACTTGGGAGGCTGAGGCAGAAGAATCACTTGAACCTGGGAGGCAGAGGCTGCAGTGAGCCGAGATCATGCCATTGGACTCCAGTCTAGGTGACAAGAGTGAAACTCCATCTCAAAAATTTAAAAAATTAAAAGCAAACAAACAAAAAGAAATGAATTATCATGCCATGAAAAGACATGGAGGAACCTTAAGCACACACATAAATGAAGGAAGCCAGGCTGGACGCAGTAGCTCACACCTATAATCTCAGCACTTTGGGAGGCTGAGGCCAGAGGATCACTTGAGGTCAGGAGTTCAAGACCAGCCTGGCAAACATGGTGAAACCCTGTCTATACTAAAAATACAAAAATTAGCCAGGTGTGGTGACATGCACCTGTTATTCCAGCTACTTGGGAGGCTGAGGCAGGAGAATCACTTGAACCTGGGAGGCAGAGGTTGCAGTGAGCTGAGATCGCACCATTGCCTGGGCAACAAGAGCAAAACTCCATCTCAAAAATAATAATAATAATAATAATAATAATAATAATCAATGTTGAATGAAATTCAGCACACAGGTTTAATAGCGGATTAAATACAACCTAAAAATAAAATCTACTGTTTATTTTTTAAAAACCATGTTGATAATTTTTCTGAGCCTAGACTTTAAATCCTTTTTACATTTAGACAAAATGTATTATTTGCAAGGCTTGAAAATACACAGCTTTCTTCAGTAACACAGCTACTGTCTGTGTTGACGAACAGTTGCACTTTGACTTCTTTGGAACTTAATTAGGACTTGGTCACATTTCAGAAAATCACATCCTAGCATAAAGAAAAGACAAATATTTAAGGTGATGGACATCTTAGTTGTCCTAGTTTGATCTTTACACATGATATGAATAGATTAAATGATCACATACACCCTGAAAATATGTACATCTATTATATATCAATTAAATAAATAAATAGGGCTGGGCGCGGTGTCTCACGCCTGTAATCCCAGCACTTTGGGAGGCCGAGGCAGGTGGATCACGAGGTCAGCAGTTCAAGACCAACCTGACTAACATAGTGAAACCCTGTCTCCACCAAAAATACAAAAAAATTAGCTGAGCATGGTGGCGGGAGCCTGTAATCCTAGCGACTAGGGAGGCTGAGGCAGGAGAATCACTTGAAATTGGAAGGCAGAGGTTGCAGTAAGCCGAGATTGTGCCACTGCACTCTAGCCTGGGCAATAAGAGAAAAACTATGTCTAAATAAATAAATAAATAAATAAATAAAACAAAATAAATAAGTACGAATAAAACTTAAAACATAAATGACTAAAAAAAATTGTTTTTAGGCCGGTCACTATGGCTCATGCCTGTAATCCCAGCACTTTGGGAGGCTAAGGTGAGTGGATCACAAGGTCAGGAGTTCAAGACCAGCCTGGCCAAGATGGTGAAACCTCGTTTTTACTAAAAAATACAAAAATTAGCTGGGCATGGTGGCTCATGCCTATAATCCCAGCTACTCGGGAAGGCTGAGGCAGGAGAATCACTTGAACCTGGGAGGCGGAGGTTGCAGTGAGCCGAGATTGCACCAGTGCGCTCTAGCCCAGGCGACAGAGGAAGACTCTGTCTCAAAAAAAAAAAAGTTTTTTTAAAAAGAAAAGAGGCTGGGTGCGGTGGCTCATGCCTGTAATTCCAGCACTTTAGGAGGCTGAGACGGGCAGATCACCTGTGGTCAGGAGTTCAAGACTAGCCTGGCCAACATGGCGAAATCCCATCTCTACTAAAAATAAGAAAATTAGCCAGGCATCGTGGCACACACCTGTAATCCCAGCTACTCAGGAGGCTGAGGCAGGAGAATCGTGTGAGCCCAGGAGGTGGAGGTTGCAGTGAGCCAAGATCCCACCACTACACTCCGGGCTGGGCAACAGAGAGAGACTCTGTCTCAAAAAAAAAAAAAAAAAAAAAAGAAAAGAAAAGAAAATCCTGGCAAACTAGTGGTCTCTGAGTGGCCAGTTTCACTGCACGCCGGTATCCCATGTGAGTTTGTAGCTGTGGATTCACTGCAGTTTTATAAAGAAGGGCAAGCATCTGACAGCTTCACATACCATGAATAGTAACACATTCACACATACCATGTTATTACCAAACACTTTTCTTTATGATTCCTCTGCAGCACAATCAGGATATTATCTGAACATCAAATATTATTGTGTATAGGTAGGGTTTGTTCTATATGAATTTCATTGCAGGATAGTAACAAAATATTTATTACAAGAATGACGGAATCGGCCCCAGCTGAACGTCTGTCTGTGCTTTGAAATGAAATCTGAACTCCTTAATCAGTCCTCAGGCTTGCCATAACCAGCCTGGCTGTTGTAGAGGCTCTGTCCCCTCCTCCCACCAATGCCAGCCAAAGGGATTTATTTGTATGTCCCAGAATGTGTCAGCACTCTCTTGTCCCTTGTCTTAGGACAGGCTGTTCTCTCCCTGAAATGCCCTCATCCTCTCCCTTCACTGTCTCAACAAATTCAGTGCTCCCCAGCCTCCATTCTCAAGTCCTTCCTTCACAACCTGTGCCGTAGCTGTGCTGCACCAGCAGCCTCGCTTGATTTTCTTAAAATAACTCATTTTCCATCAGTAAATTGATTTTTCAGAGAAAAGTTGATATCATAATCATAAATAGGAAACCAGTATGAGTAGCCCTGAAAATAAAGTTGCTATGAAAATAAATAAAAGACAAATACAAGTTAATAATTTTTCATAGAATTGTCAGCAGACCCTCTGAGGCTGAGGGGAAGGGATGGGGAGGCAGATTAAGAAGTGTTAGCAACCTGTTAACACCCTTAACATATCCAGAGGCTTGAAAGAAAATGGAAAGAATAACTTTCTCTTTCGGTGTAATTTAATGCTGTCCCTTTTCTCCCTAAAATCACCTGCATTTTACTGCAACCCATTTATCACTCAACGGCGCTAGATGCTGCCAGTAAACCAACAGACCAGACAAGCACAGCCTATGCCCCTACAGACTCACAGTCGGCTGGAGGAAAAACATAAGGAACCCGGGAATGGCTATAAAATGTCATTGCTTGAGAAAATAGTTTCTGGTCGGGCGTGGTGGCTCACGCCTGTAATCCCAACACTTTGGGAGGCCGAGGCGGGCGGATCACCTGAGGTCACGAGTCAGAGACCAGCGTGGTCAAAAGACGAGTTTGAGACTAGACTGGCCACCTCTTTAGTAGAGATGGTGAAGGCCCGTCTCTACTAAAAATACAAAAATTAGTCGGAGGTGGTGGCATGCGCCTGTAGTCCCAGCTACTCCGGAGGCTGAGGCACCAGAATCGCTTGAATCTGCCTGGGAGGGGGAGGTTGCAGTGAGCCAAGACCACGCCACTGCACTTCCGCCTGGGCGACAGAGCGACACTCTGTCTCAAAAAAAAAGAAAAAGAAAATAGTTTGTGTTTCGGGGCCTCTCACTTCTCCAGCGTCCCGATACGCCCGGGGATTGCAGAGAACCCACACCTATTCGTAGATTATGAGTAGGAGCAAATTAATGATTTATAGTCTTTTGAAAGGTGTTTTTTTTTTTTTTTTTTTTAAACATAAAAAGAGTGGGGAGTTGAAAGTAATGCTGTTTTTTCCAGGCACTCCCGGGGACCCAGCGCGGCGAAGCCTGCCAGGATCGCGGGCGACCGGCGGCGGTTCCGGTTCCCCGGTCTGGGCCCGGCTTGGGTTACGCTCTGGGTGGGGGCTCCGCAGCGGCTCCCTAGTTAGCGGGCGCCCCGGTGGGCTCCAGCTTTAGGGGTCGCTGGAGCGGCTCTGGCATCACCTCGGAGTTGACGAAGCGGGAAGAGCCCCGCGCCAGTGCTGCCCCTACAGAGCTCTCAGCGAGGGGTGGAGGTGAGGTTACCCCCAGCCCCTACCCCCGCCTTCCCCTCCGGCGCCCGCGGAGAGGACTGGGGGCTGCAGGGAGGGGTTGTGCCGTGAGCGGGCGGGTTCCGGAGGCTCCGAGGTGGGGCGGGGCCCGAGCCGGAGTCTAGAGTCCCTGCGGCGGGTGGGGGAAGGAAAGACGGGTGGCGCGACCCTCTGTCCCCGCCCCGGGGGCGGAGCCCAGGTCCCAGCCTGCGGAGCGCGAGACCCGCCGAAATCCGCCGGAGGCTACCTGTGCGGCTCCTGCAGCCCTGCACCGGGATCTGGGGATACCCGCCCCCCGCCCCACCGGTGCTGTGGCCCTCGGCCCCAGCGCAGGTGCTGGTGGGGCTTCTCTGTCCCTTTCACCCCAGGCGCATCCGCTGCGACGGCCATGGCGCGAGGAGACGCCCCGCGGGACAGGTGAGTGGGCCCGGGTGGGTACGGACCGGGACCTAAGTGACCCGGGGAGTTGCAGACCCGCTCCCTGGAGGCGCTCCGAGGCGCAGAGAAGACCGGATCGAACTACAATTCCCATCAGCCGACTCCCTCTGCCGCCAGAGCTGGGGTGATGGGGGTTGTAGTCCGCTCCGGAGGGGGCGGCCTGGGAGGCGGGAGGGCCCGCGGAGGCGGGTGCGTCCTCGGGGTGACCTTCCCACCGATCCCCACAGCTACCACCTGGTCGGGATCAGCTTCTTCATCCTGGGGCTGGGCACCCTCCTTCCCTGGAACTTCTTCATCACCGCCATCCCGGTGAGATTCCTGGCGGCGTGGCAGCCTCGTGGCCACAGCCAGCACCCCTTCCTCCAGCCCTTTGGGATGAGGTTTACCGGGCGCTTCCTCACCGCGCACCTGTGACCCCTCGTTGAGCTCATTTATGGGCTGAAGCTCGGAGACACAGAGAGGGCAATGCTTCCCGCATGACTAGGAAAGCAGAACTTCAGGAATGTCCACATCTCAGAGGGCCAAGGCCACCAGCCCACAGGGTCTGGAATGAGCAAAGGCGCTTCCCACCCACCTCCTCTATGTGTCGTTATTCCTGAGTCAGTCACCCCAAAAGTCGGTTATCGAACGTTTGATTTTCTTTGAAATACCATGAATTTCACTCATTCATGCATTCATTCATTCAACAAACGTTTAATGTGCACCTACTGTGGAGAAGGCACTGGGGACACAGGAGGAAACAGCAGGGAGTGTCTTCAGGGAAGGCAGAAATATGGGGTTTGCATTGTCTTTGGGACCGGGTTATTCATCTGTATTCACTGCAACAACTTTGCAAATGCCTCTTGGGTACTGGCTCTGTGCTGGGCCCTGGAAACCCAGAGATGAATCAGCCCCTGGTCTTGAGAGCAAGAGGGGCCAAAGAGCTATTAATAATGTAACATGATGCGCGACATTCCAGGCTTACAGCAGAGTGCAGTGGGTCCCCAGGGGAGGGAGAAAGTTTCTTCTGCTTCGTGGAAGAGATTTGTAAATTGGGAGTAGGGTAAGCAGAGTGCATATGGAGGGGTGTGGTCAGTAGGGTGGAGGTGACAGCCACGCCCAAGGCAAACAGGCAAGAGAGGATCAGCCTATTTAGAGAGAGATCCAGAGCCAGGGCTGCCTGGAGCTTAGCTGGATGGAGCAGAAGATGGGGCACAAAGGGAGACTGGGATCTGATTCTGAAGGGCTGTTCTATTTGGGGCTTTGCCCTGCAGGCAGTAGGTAGGAATGAAGCGGGGTGTTGAGGAGTGAGGAGGTTAAGCAGAGGAGTGGCAGGCTATGTGCTCCAGAGAGAATGCAGTTGGTCAGCACCTAGGCCAAAGCCTGGCTGACAGTAGGCGCTCAATAAATACCCCTGGAATGAATGAATCTAGCAGCTGCTGCACGAGTGGGGATGGGGGCTGGAACCAGGGCGCTGAAGAGAAGGGGCTGTCCAAGCCTGGATCGAGGCTTATGCTGGGAGCTCTTAATGCTTGGGCTGTGTCTCAGACTTCAGCCATTTAACTCAGTGCACATCCATGGAGCCCCGACTGTGTGCCAGGCGCTGGGGACAGAACAAGGACATGGCAGACAAGTCCCTGCAGACAGTAGAAAGCAATCACAAGTGAGGGGGAAGGCAGTGGGGGAAGGCTGAGAGGTGCTGACCCTCCGTCACCTCCCCACCTGGCAGTACTTCCAGGCGCGACTGGCCGGGGCCAGCAACAGCACAACCAGGATCCTGAGCACCAACCACACAGGCCCCGAGGATGCCTTCAACTTCAACAATTGGGTGACGCTGCTGTCCCAGCTGCCGCTGCTGCTCTTCACCCTTCTCAACTCCTTCCTGTACCAGTGGTGAGAGGCCTGCCCTGGCTCCTGTGCCCCCTGCCGATGCAGCTTCATTGAGGCCTTCCCCTGCGCCCCCCGGCCCCCAGCCCTACTGCCCAGCCCTTCCCCAGCCCCCTCTGGCCTGGGCCCCACTGATCCACTCTGCCCCCTTCTGAGCAGCATCCCGGAGACGGTGCGCATTCTGGGCAGCCTGCTGGCCATACTGCTGCTCTTTGCCCTAACGGCAGCATTGGTCAAGGTGGACATGAGCCCGGGACCCTTCTTCTCCATCACCATGGCCTCCGTCTGCTTCATCAACTGTGAGCACCTTCACCCCCTCCCCAGCCAGCCCATGCAGGGCTTCAGCCTGGCCTCATCACTGAAAGGGCCCAACATATCTGAGAAGGGAAGACAGCATCATGGTCACTCATATCCCTGGTGAAGAAACTGAGGCCCAGAGGGAGGGGAAGAGTCACTTGTCTGGTGACCTAGGAGCAGGCTTCCTGGTCGACAGCCCCACAAACCAATGGCTGCACCTCAGAAAAGGACTGAATGGCGGGTGTTGCCCCAGAGTGCCCAGAGTCCCTAGGGAAGCTCACACCTGTGCAACCTTGTCCGGAGTCCCCTGTGCATCCTGCCGACACCTCCTCCAGGGAGCCCCTGAGTCCTGCCTAGTTGAGCAGCAGCCCCCATCCCTGTCTTCCACAGCCTTCAGTGCAGTCCTACAGGGCAGCCTCTTCGGGCAGCTGGGCACCATGCCCTCCACCTACAGCACTCTCTTCCTCAGCGGCCAGGGCCTGGCTGGGATCTTTGCTGCCCTTGCCATGCTCCTGTCCATGGCCAGTGAGTGCACTTGGGTGGCTGGAGGGCTGGGGCGGCCTCTGAGGTTTGGGGAACAGAGAGGGCATGTGAGAGCAAGACACCTGGGTTCTGGGTGAAGATGGAGGTAAGAGGGTGATATGGAAATGGGGATTGGGTCTGGGGCTAGGGAGTGGGGCTCATGGGCCCTGCAGTGAGGAGTAATAACCAAGCGAGGACTGGGTTAACTCAGGGACAGGGGCAGGATTCCTGGGGCCAGTACTGGCATGTGGCAGCAGGTTGAAGTTGAAGGATGAGGGGATGGGTTTGGGATTCAGATAGTCTTGGATTTGAATCTGCTTCACCGCTTACCAGCTAGGGGCACTGGACAAGGCTTGTCACCCCTCTGTGCTAGTTTCCCCACCTACGTGATTGTTCTAGCTCCCTGCTCAGATTATAATGAGCATGCAATAAGAGAAGGCTCCTGACACATAGTACGTGCTCAACAAAAATGACATATAGGGGAAAGTGGGAGAAGGGCAGGGCTGCTCTGGGGCCCTGCACAAGATTCCCATTTTCAGTGAAGGGAGGCTGGGAGCGGGGCTGAGAAGTGCACAATGGGAAGTGGGACAAGAGTTGGAAGCCCCATGGGAGCCAGTGGGACCAGGTACCTCTTCTGCAGCTGAAGTTTCTCCGCAGGTGGCGTGGACGCCCAGACCTCCGCCCTGGGGTACTTTATCACGCCCTGTGTGGGCATCCTCATGTCCATCATGTGTTACCTGAGCCTGCCTCACCTGGTGAGCCTGCTGTTGGGCTCGAGGCCCCACCTTAAAGCATCTTGGATAGAGTCCTGAGTCTGAGACCCTGAGAGAGGCCAGGGGAGGTGGAGGAGACCTGGCCTCAGCCCTGACCCCCAGAGAAGACACTGAGGGACCCCAGCCTCCAGGCCAATGATGTGGGCAGGGATCCAGACACCTCAGGCAAGCCAGGCAGGCCCAACACTTTTCTGTCCTTCTGCAGAAGTTTGCCCGCTACTACCTGGCCAATAAACCATCCCAGGCCCAAGCTCAGGAGCTGGAGACCAAAGCTGAGCTCCTCCAGTCTGGTAAGCCCTGAGAGCCACCTCCCCTGGGAAGCCGTTCCCTCTGTTCCCAGCCAGAGCCCACCCCAGTAGCCTTGTGCAAACCGGAAGATCATGAAGGGAAGTTGGTAGGATTAAAGTCATCCCTGCTGTTGTTTGGGCCTCAGTTTCCACCTCTATAAAATGAGGAGGCAATAGAGCTTCCATGCATGCAAACTTTGGATCCAAAGACCTCTGAATTTGAGTACTGGTTTCACAATGTCTCAGCTGTGTGGCCTGAGACAAACCACTTAGCCACTGCAGCCCTCTGAACCTCAATGTGTCATTTGTAAAGCAATGGTAATGAGGTAATCCATCTAAGGTGCTTTGCTCATCGCCCGACCCATGCATGTGCTTCCTGGTAGCTATGCATGTTTCCATCATGAATTCGCTTCGCCTGCAGCCTGGGCTGGAGGAAGGGCACTTGTTTTTTTTTGGGGGGGGGGGGGGGGGGGGGAAGGGGGTGCGGTTTGTTGTTATTTTGAGGCAGCATCTCACTCTGTCACCTGGGCTGCACTGCAGCGCAATCACAACTCAACTGCAGCCTCGACTTCCTGGGCTCAAGTGACCCGCCTCAGTCTCCCGAGTAGCTGGGACTATAGGTGCAGGCTGCCCTGCCCGGCTAATTTTTGTATTTTTGTAGAAATGGGGATTTACCATGTTGCCCAGGCTGGTCTCGAACTCCTGGGCTCAAGCAATCTGTCCACCTCAGCCTCCCAAAGTGTGGGGATTACTGGTGTGAACTACCATGCCCAGCTGAGGATCACTTGTTTTAACTGCTGGGAATCTCCCTTCGTTGGGCCTGGCTGTCGGGAAACCTGGGTCACAAGCATGACCCCTCCCCCCTCCCTCCTCCCCCCAGATGAGAACGGGATTCCCAGTAGTCCCCAGAAGGTAGCTCTGACCCTGGATCTTGACCTGGAGAAGGAGCCGGAATCAGAGCCAGATGAGCCCCAGAAGTCAGGAAAACCTTCGGTCTTCGTTGTCTTCCAGAAGGTTTGGCTTGGATATAGCCCCAACCACCATTCCTGGGGAAGAATGGGGTTCACATTGTCTCCCCCAAGGTCATAGGGTCATAGTGGGTCAGGGACACAGCTGTGCCAGACCCCAAGTGTCCTGCTCCCAGATGGGGCTTGGGCAAGAGGGTGGGGCCCTGGGACTGCCCTGCCTGCTCACACCCCTGCCTCTGGCTCCCAGATCTGGCTGACAGCGCTGTGCCTTGTGTTGGTCTTCACAGTCACCCTGTCCGTCTTCCCCGCCATCACAGCTATGGTGACCAGCTCCACCAGTCCCGGGAAGTGGAGTGAGTGTCGGAGTGGAGAAGACAGCAGGGCGGGGGGTACAAAGGGGAGAGGACGGGAGAGGGGAACTGGGGACCAGTATGAACTGCAGCCTTTTCCCTCCCAGGTCAGTTCTTCAACCCCATCTGCTGCTTCCTCCTCTTCAACATCATGGACTGGCTGGGACGGAGCCTGACCTCTTACTTCCTGTGGGTAAGCACACCAGGGCTGGGTGATCTGATGTTTTAGGAAGCAGTTTGGGATCCGAGGTCTTGAAAGAGCACGGAGGTGATTTTCCGGTAGTCCAAGTGGCCTGGCAGTGGAACCACTGGCCAAGCGGCAGGGAGCACCTGCGCCCTGGAGGTGTGCAGGCCAGGGCTTGCACTGTGAGCTCCTTGAAAGCAAAAGTCACATCCAGCTGACCTCTGTGTCCCCAGCATGCAGCTTTCGCTGCTCAGAGAATGTTACATGGAGGTTCCTGCACCAGGTGAGGGACTGAGCAAGAGTCTTAGTTTTGGGGTTGGTTTTAGCCATGGTGCTGTGTCTTTAAATGAAATCTTCCAAAGAGACAATACATAAAGCAGGTGAAAGAGGAGCTGATCTACCGCTTCCGATCCCACTCAGAAACCCCATCTGCCCCCAGGGGGTTCTGGGAACCACCAGGGGATGCTCTGAGGAACCGAGTATGTAAACTGTAAATGCTGTGGAGAGCATGAGCTGGAGCCTGGGAGAGGTAGAGGTGAGCCCCAGGCCGGTCCCTGATTGCTGGGTGGCCTTGGCCCAGGCCCCAGTGCTGGGTCCTCCCTCACTGGCTCACAGGGTAGGTCAGGTCAGAGGAGGTCAGGGGGTGACAGATGGGTCTATCCTATGGGTGGGCCAGGCGTGGTGGCTCATGCCTATAATCCTAGCACTTTGGGGCTGGACGCGGTAGCTCACGCCTGTAATCCTAGCACTTTGGGGGGCCAAGGTGGGTGGATCACGAGGTCAGGAGTTCGAGGCCAACCTGGCCAACATGGTGAAACCCCGTATCTACTAAAAAGATAACAATTAACTAGGCGTGGTGGTACATGCCTGTAATCCCAGGGAGGCAGAAGCTGCAGTGAGCCGAGATCGCACCACTGCTCTCCAGCCTGGGAGACAGAGCGAGACTGTGTCTCAAAAAAAAAAAAACCAAAACCTAAAATCCGAGCACTTTCAGAGGCCAAGGCAAGAGGATGGCTTGAGCTGAAGCTAAGGAGTTCACAACCAGCCTGGGCAACACAGTGAGACCTTGTCTGTACACACACACACACACACACACACACACACACAAATTTTTAATGAAAAAAAGAGGCTGGGTGTGGTGGTTCACGCCTGTAATCCCAGCACTTTGGGAGGCCGAGGTGGGTGGATCACTTGAGGTCAGAAGTTCGAGACCAGCCTGGCCAACATGATGAAACCCCCGTCTCTACTGAAAATACAAAAATTATCTGGGCATGGTGGCGGTGGGTGCCTATAGTCCCAGCTACTCAGGAGGCTGAGGCAGGAGGATTTCTTGAACCCAGGAGGTGGAGGTTGCAGTGAGCTGAGATCAGGGCCACTGCACTCCAGCCTGGGCAACAGAGTGAGACTCCATCTAAAAAAAAGAAAAAAAATAAAAAGTACTCTATGGGTGTCCTGAGATGCCCTGGAGCAGAGACCTGGGTCAAGGGACCACACTGACCCCAGCCTCTGCCACAGCCAGACGAGGACAGCCGGCTGCTGCCCCTGCTGGTCTGCCTGCGGTTCCTGTTCGTGCCCCTCTTCATGCTGTGCCACGTGCCCCAGAGGTCCCGGCTGCCCACCCTCTTCCCACAGGATGCCTACTTCATCACCTTCATGCTGCTCTTTGCCATTTCTAATGGCTACCTGGTGTCCCTCACCATGTGCTTGGCACCCAGGTCTGGGGGAATGGGGTGGGGTGGGGGACTGGGAGTGGGGAGGTGGGTTCAGTCTTTGGGAAGGGACTGCCTTCGAGGGAGGGATGGCCCATCTTGCTTCTGGCCAGCCCAACCTTAGCTGTCTGCAGGCCTTGCTGGCGCCCCTTGCCTGGCCAGCCCTTAACTGCAGGGGAGAGGAGAACTGGGCTAGTGAGGTACCTGCCCAGCAAAGTAGCCCAGGCACTGGTTCTGGGGCCGCCTCAATGGGCCTCAGTTTCCCCATCTGTAAAAAAAAAAAAATGGGTTGAACTGTCATTCCTCAGGGCCCATCTAGCTGTAAAATTCTCAGTTGAAGGAGAGCTAAAGTTTTGACGAAAAACAAGGTTCGTGGGCTATTTCCTCAAGGGGCAATGGAGTATAGAATCCAGAGAAAATGAAGCTGGCAGGGCAGACAGGTTGGGAGCACTGTGGAAAGGGCAGGCTGTGGAATCTGGAATCCCATCATGTTGGACCCAGAGGCCCTGAGAGACGTCCTTATCCAGCAGCCTCATTTACAGACCAGGAAACAGACCCAGAAAGACAGGGCCAGTTTTGGTGACAGAGCCCAGACTGGATGGGCAGAGGGCGGTGGAGCTGGGTCTAGGTTTGGACCCAGCGTTTTCTAAGAGCTCCTGTTCCCGGGTGTTCTAGGCAGGTGCTGCCACACGAGAGGGAGGTGGCTGGCGCCCTCATGACCTTCTTCCTGGCCCTGGGACTTTCCTGTGGAGCCTCCCTCTCCTTCCTCTTCAAGGCGCTTCTCTGAAGTGGCCCCTCCGGGCTCTTTGGCAGCCTCTTCTCAACGTCTCCTTCTGAAGCTGAGATCCAGCCCAGGGCGAATGGCGAGCTTGGCTTAGGCCTCTGCTGGGTGGAGGCCTCTGGGCCTGGGGTTACCAGCAGGGGGCAGGAGCTGCTCTTCATCCACTTGGAGTGCTGCGGGGAAGAATTCATCACCAGTCATTCTAACCCTCACCCAGGAATGGGGGTGACTTGCACAAGACCTCATGGAAAGGGTGATGTCTAGAGAAGAGACGGTACAGGGCATGGCCACTCCCCACCACCAGGTCTGCATTTGTTCATCATCACCAGGAGCAGAGGCAACCAGAGGGTTCAGAGTGGGAGGTGGGGCCAGCCCAGGGCAGGAGCTCCTCATCCTCCCAGGCCTCAGCGACCCAGGGTAAAAGGTGCCAGGGATGTTGCGGGGACCTGGAAGAAGAAACAGGTGTTGAGGACCTGAGAGTGCTCAAAGGGCCAGGCTCAGCCTCAAGCAGTGTTTTCATTGCCAACACTTACTGTCCCCACTCCACAGAGCCCAGCTGGGCCTGGGCCCCAGAGCCACAGCTAGCCTGCATGTGTGCACTGCACTTTACAGTTTGCAAACCTCTTCCATACCCACTCTCTCACCGAAGCCTAATTGAGGCCCTTGAAAGGAGCTGGGCAAGGATTGTGCTTCCCCCATTATACAGGTGAGGAAACTGAGTCCTGGGGAATGTGACTGGTCCGCGGTAGAGCCGGGATCCAACCCCATCTCCCTCCTCCCTGTAGGTGCTGTTCTTCCTGCCCAACACCTGTTTCTGTTTTCCTCAAGGGATTCGGGGCAGGAGCCCTGGGTACTTACTCCCCCTTTTTGCTGTTTCTCCTTCAGACCCTGCTCTTGGGTCTAATAACAACCCCATTTATTTGTATGATGCGTTCACCAAGTCTTTATTTCCGAAGTGCTGTTGGCTCTATTGGCCTCAGTGAACTGGGTGGGGTCGGAAAGATTGTACCCCATTGACAGGTGGGATGACTGAGGCCCCGAGAGGGGTAGGGATTGGTGGTCATCTCTGTGCTGCGTCCTCTGGACCACATGATAGCTGGGGGGTACTGACCTGCAAGGAACCCTGAGCTCCTGGGCAGAGCACCTGGTTCGATGGACAACTATTGCTCTCCCCCTCCATGAGTCCCTGGGCTCTCACTGGCATCCTCTGCCTCCCCAGGGTCACTTCTCCTCAGAAATCTGGCCTTAGAGAGGCAGTCAGTGTGGGCAGGGCTTTGGCGACCCCATCAGTTCTACAGAGGATGAAGGGAAGTCTGCTTCACCACACCTGTACTACCCTGCCCATCCCAGAGAAAAGCAACGGTTTTCTGCCCACCTGCCTTTGTGAACATTCACTGAGCACCTATTAGATATCGGATGCTCAGCCAGCACAGGGTACCTGCTCAGAAGCCAGGGGCTCTTGGCATCAAAGAGGAAGATGGGCAAGATATGACCTTGGTTGCTGAAATAAGCCACAGGGTAGACCCCAAGTAAGGATTCATTCCTTCAAGCACTATTCACAGGCAGCTGCCCCGGCCAGGCCCTGCCTAGGCTGGAGACTCTGAAACAAAGGAGACAGTCCCCACTCCCAAGGCCATGGGAAGCCAAATGTAACTTGTGATATGTCTTGTGAGGGCCCTGCAGAAGCATGTCAAGGGAGCCACTGATTCCACCTGAGAAGTCAGGGCAGTCATTCTGGAGGAGGTATTTCCCCAGCTGGGCCCTGAGGGATGAATATGAGTTTGCTAGTCTGAGGTGGAGGAAGGGCAGAAGCAGAGAAGCCACAGAGGAGTTGATCCCGGCAGTCCAGTGGGGAGGTGATGGGGCCTAGACAGTGGCTTCCAGAGGAGGACTGATACAGGAGATGAGGGAGGCTGCCTCTATGGAGGCCAGCTAACCTCGTGGACAAGTGCATGCATGCTGACCCAGAGTCCTGGGTTCAAATTGGCCCTTTTCTTTATGACCTGCCTGAGCTGGAGTCCTGGAGTGAGGTTGGAGCTAGAGTACCACCTCTGATGATATTAGGGAAACGGTTGTTGGAGTCCTAGGAGTCTCTTGCAAGACCACTAGGCCTAGCTGTGCTGTTTGACTGGGACTGTTGAGGGCAGGACCCCAACACTTGCTGGGTCCCCTTCTCCTTCTCTACCTTCAGAGGAGAGGACAACTGTTGTCCATTGTACCTAAAAGCTCCCTAAAAGCCGGGCACGGTGGCTCATGTAATCGCAGCACTTTGGGAGGCCGAGGCAGGCAGATCACCTGAGGTCGGGAGTTCGAGACCAGCCTGACCAACATGGAGAAACCCCATCTCTACTAAAAATACAAAATTAGCCAGGTGTGGTGGCACATGCCTGTAATCCCAGTACTTGGGAGATTGAGGCAGAAGAATCACTTGAACCCAGGAGGCAGAGGTTGCAGTGAGCCGAGATTGTGCCATTGTGCTCCAGCCTGGGCAATAGGGGTGAAACTCCATCTCAAAACAAAACAAAAGCTCCCCAGACCTGCCAGATCCACCTGGGACCAAGAAGGCAGACACCCACCTGCCCACCTCACAGGCCAGACAGTCCCAGGAAACCCACTGGGGCCACCAGTCACCCAGAGCAAGCCCAGTGGAGGGTGGGGCCCAAAAAGAGGACACTTACCCCTCAGGTGTCCTTATGATGTCACAACCTGGGATTCCGTCTTCCCATCCTCCTTCCCAGTAGACCCAGCACAAGTTTATCAGCTCAGGATGCAGCTCTTTGATACTGGAAATATTCTTGGACTGGTTGGCTACACCTGCCTGCCTCTCACCTGACGCCTAGTCCCCAGCTGCTGCTGCCTCCCTACCCTGTCACAGCTCTGCCGACAGCGCCTAGTCCCCAGCTGCTGCTGCCTCCCTACCCTGTCACAGCTCTGCTGACAGTGCCTAGTTCCCAGCTACTGCTGCCTCCCTACCCTGTCACAGCTCTGCCGACAGCGCCTAGTCCCCAGCTACTGCTGCCTCCCCACCCTGTCACAGCTCTGCCAACAGGCCCGGATTCCCGCAGACGCAGCCATTTTCCATCAGCAAACACTTGCACTGCACAGGGCACTGAGCTGGGCTCAGTGGAGAGACATCTTTACCCTCAAGTTGCTGACCCTTTTATGGAAGAGGAGACTGGTAGTTGGAATTCTACTACGTGAGGCCAGGCATGGTGGCTCACGCCTGTAATCCCAGCACCTTGAGAGGCCAAGGCAGGCGGATCACTTGAGGTCAGGAGTTTGAGACCACGCTGGCTAACATGGTGAAACCTGGTCTATATTTAAAAAATACAGGGCGCAGGGCGGAAGCAGAGGGGCGCAGGGCGGAAGCAGAGACGTTGGTGGCGTGAGGCTCAGGAGTATACATCAGAGGAAGCCAAAAGCCAGCTGGAATAGTTCCTGAACACAGTTTTAATCTTGTTTGCAATTATTTCAAAGGGGAGAAATCATCTGGATCAGAATTAAGATGCTCTGGTTTCAAGGAAATAGCATGCAACTTGCCAGATCCACCTTTGGACTCTTCCTGAGAAATTGCTCTGCCTCTAAGACAACTCTGCCTGTGCTGACCTTATTCACAAAGGACCCATGCCCCCTTTGTGATGAAGCCAAGGAAGTACTCAAGCCATATAAAAACAGGGTAATATAATACAGTGTGGCTTTTATGTATGTGGAATGAATATAGATGTGGTATAAAGTATCTGCCTGGATCCTTTCTTTAGGAAAAGAGATTAAATGATTTTTCATTAAAAAAAAAAAATACAAAAATTAGCCAGGAGTGGTGATGGGCGCCTGTAATCCCAGCTACCCGGGAGGCTGAGGCAGGAGAATCACTGGAACCCAGGAGGCAGAGGCTGCAGTCAGCCAGGATTCTGCCACTGCACACCAGCCTAGGGGACACAGCAAGACCATCTCAAAAATAAAAAATAAAAATAATTCTACTACATGAAAAGCATTTGACATTTGTGATCTGCTTTTCCACCTGCCTCAAAATGCCACATGTTGTCAGAGTTTGGCCCCTTTTGAGTGGCCCCAGAGGCCTCCCTACCTAACCCTCACACCCTGCTTTGTATGGAAATGACATCTCTGGCCAGGGCTGACTGGACCAGGGCCGGGGTCTGAGCCATGGCAGCCACCTACTGACTGGCCAGCAGCCTATGAGGTGGCCTGGTCCAGGTTCCCTGAAGAGAAGAACCAATCAGATCATCTCTCTTGGGAGAATGAAGCCACAATATGAGTGGGGGTTGTCTCGAGGTTACTGGCACATTAGAAGGAATAGGTCATAGGCAGGGTCAAGGTCACAGGCAGGGTCATCAACATAATAGAATGGGGCATTGCTTTGTGGTCACTAGAGTCATCATGATATCCTAGATGGAGCCAGATGACATCCTTGTTCTTCTTGCTCTTTCTTTCTTTTCAAGGTATCTTGAACAAACTACTGTTGACTGAGGTCACCTGGCTGGAGGCCCCCCCCTGTTTTTTTGTTGTTGTTGTTGTTGAGATAGAGTCTTGCTCCATCACCCAGGCCTGAGCGCAGAGGCACAATCTCAGCTCACTGCCACCTCCGCCTCCTGGGTTCAAGTTATTCTCCTGTCTCAGCCTCCTGAGTAACTGGGATTACAGATAAGTGTCATGATGCCTGGCTAATTTTATCATATTTTTAGTACAGACGGGGTTTCACCATGTTGGTCAGGCTGGTCTTGAACTCCTGATCTCAAGTCATCTGCCTGCTTTGGCCTCCCAAAGTGTTGGAATTACAGGTGTGAGCCACTGCACCTGGCCTGGACTCCCTTTCCATTGCAGCACCAGAATTTGTGAAGCAGAAGCCCTGGGCACTACCCCATTTTACAGATGAATAAACTGAGGTTCCATGGAGCTCAATATTAATAGAATGTAAGCAAAAGTAGTAAAACAGACAGCTCCAAGGGCCTGTGCCTTTGAAAAAAAAAAAAAACTGAAAAAATGAGCGACTGTTGGAACCACCTTTGTTGGAACTCTGGAAAATAATCAAAGATTTACAACAACCCCAAGCAAGTGCTGAATCAAGAAAGTGGCAACTTAAAAATAATGAGAGTTTTGCAGTGTTTTACCTGCCCTTGCTCCATTTTCCTTCTGGGTTAGTGGTGGTGTGAAGATGGCATTCCCAATGTGGGACCCTAGCCTTTGGTTCTCAAGGGAGCAAAGCAGACTTTGTTCTCAAAGGATTGTATCTCAGTTCCGACCTGTCTGGGGACTACCTAAAGAACTGATGCCAGTTCTTTAGGCATGTCTGATGTCTGATGCCAGACATTCGCTTTTGTTTTGCCTAACTCCGAAATCTCTCAGGATGGAAAAGCTTCTACTTAGAGGACAGTTCTCCAAAACACTGAAAGGCGAATTAACAAACCCCTGCTGTCCAGAGCAAAGATTACAGTTTACATGAACAACAGACAAGCTGAAAGGTTGTAAGGAAAAGCTGGGGAGAGATTCTTTGGGGAACTGAAAAGCTCCCTTAAATATCAGGGAATTTAGAAAGCCATATACATGCAGGGCAAGATGCATGCTCAGAAAAGACTCAAGAAGTCCAGGCGTGGTGGCTCACACCTGTAATCCCAGCACTTTGGGAGGCCAAGGCAGGAGGATCTCTTGAGGCCAGGAGTTTGAGACCAGCCTGGGCAACATAGCAAGACTCCGTCTCTACAAAAATAAAAATAAAATAGCAGGGCACATGATGGTACATGCCTGTAGTCTTAGGTGCTTGGAAGGCTGAGTCAGGAGAATCATTTGAGGCCAGGAGTTCAAGCCTGCAGCGAGTGGTGACTGCACTACTGCACTTCAGTCTGGGCAACATAACACGATCCTATCTTTTAAAAAAAGGAAGGCATTAATGGAGGAAATGAGGAACGAAAAGATACGAGACGTAGAAAACAAATAGCAAAATGGCACAAGTAAGTCTTTCCTTATCAGTAATTACTTTTTTTTATTTTTACTTTTTATAAACAGAGTCTCACTCTGTTGCTCAGGCTGGAGTACAGTGGTGTGATCTTGGCCCACTGCAACCTCTGCTTTCTGGGTTCAAGCAAATTCCCCTGCTCCAGCTTCCCGAGTAGCTGGGACAAGTGTGCACCACCACACCCAGCTAATTTTTGTATTTTTATTAGAGACGGGGTTTCACCATGCTGGTCAGGCTGGTCTTGAACTCCTGGCCTCAAGTGATCTGCCCGTCTTGGCTTCCCAAAGTGCTGGGATTACAGGTGTGAGCCACTGTGCCTGGCCTCAGTAATTACTTTAAATGGAATTGACTCAGCTCTCCAATTAAAAGGCAAGATTATCAGAATGGATTTAAAAAAAATTTGTTTTTTAGAGGCAGGATCTCACTATGTTGCCCAGGCTGGTCTCAAACTCCTAGAGCTCAAGCAGTCCTCCTTCCTCATCCTTCCAAAGTGTTGAGATTATAGGTATAAATCACCGTGCGTGGCCCAAGAATGGATTTTTAAAAAATGTGATTCGACTGGGGCCGGGCGCGGTGGCTCATGCCTGTAATCCCAGCACTTAATTTTTTTTTTTTTTTGAGACGGTGTCTCGCTCTGTCACCCAGGCTGGAGTGCAGTGGTGTGATCTTGGCTAATGGCAAGCTCCGCCTCCCGGGTTCACGCCATTCTCCTGCCTCAGCCTCCCGAGTAGCTGGGACTACAGGCCCCCGCCACCACCCCCAGCTAATTTTTTGTATTTTTTAGTAGAGTTGGGGTTTCACTGTGTTAGCCAGGATGGTCTCTCTGTCCTGACCTTGTTGATCCGCCCGCCTCGGCCTCCAAAGTGCTGGGATTACAGGCATGAGCCACCGCGCCCGGCCTGATCTTTTGTTTTTTTTGGGACGGAGTCTCACGCTGTCGCCCAGGCTGGAATACAGTAGTGTGATCTCTGCTCACTACAACCTCCACTTCCCGGTTCACAAGATTCTTCTGCCTCAGCCTCCCGAGTACCTGGGATTTACAGGCATACACCACCATACCTGGCTAATTTTTTGTATTTTTAGTAGAGACAGGGTTTCACTATGTTGGCCAGACTGGTCTCGAACTCCTGACCTTGTGATCCACCCACCTCCACCTCCTAAAGTCCTGGGATTACAGACCTGAGCCACTGAACCCAGCCCACTTACTAAGTTCACTGTCTTATATGGGTGCGGTGCCCCAAAACAATTTTAATAGTAACATCGAAGATCACTGATCACAGGACACCATAACAGATATAATAATAATGAAAGAGCTTGAACTATTGGATGAACTACCAAAATGTGGCACCAAGACAGGAAGTGAGCACATGGTGTTGGAAAAATGGCACCAACAGACTTGCTCAACACAGGGTTGCCACAAACTTTCAATCTGTAAAAAAAATATGCAATTATCTGTGACATACAATAACTCAAAGTGCAATAAAGTGAGGTATGCCTGGCCGGGCGTGGTGGCTCACGCCTGTAATCCCAACACTTTGGGAGGCGGAGACGGGCGTATCACGAGGTCAGGAGATCGAGATCATACTGGCTAACACAGTGAAAACTACTAAAAATACAAAAAAAATAGCCGGGTGTGGTGGCGGGTGCCTGTAGTCCCAGCTACACAGGAGGCTGAGGCAGGAGAATGGCATGAACTCGGGAGGCAGAGCTTGCAGTGAGCTGAGGTCGCACCACTGCACTCCAGCCTGGGCGACAGAGCGAGACTCAGTCTCAAAAAAAAAAAAAAAAAAAAAGAAGTGAGGTATACCTTTACTCAGAAGTAAAAAGGACTATAAGAGAATGCTATGAATAACTGTATGCTAACAAGTCAGATGAAATGGACAAATTCCTGGAAACACACAAACTACCAAAATTGATGCAAGAAGAAACAGGAAATCTGAACAGACCTATAACAAGTAACCAGATTTAATCTGTAATCAAAAACCTCCCAACAAAGAAAATCCCAGGACCAGATGGCTTCACAAGTGAATTCTACCAATCACTTAAAGAATTAACATCAATCCAGCCAGGCGTGGTGGCTCACGCCTGTAATCCCAGCACTTTGGGAGGCTGACAAGGGCAGATCACCTGAGATCAGGAGTTTGAGACCAGCCTGGCCAACATAGTGAAACCCAGTCTCTAGTAAAAATACAAAAATTAGCGGGGCGTGGTGGTGTACACCTGTAATCCCAGCTACTCTGGAGGCTGAGACAGGAGAATCGTTGGAACCCAGGAGGCAGAGGTTGCAGTGAGCTGAGATCATGCCACTGCACTCCAGCCTGGGTGACAGAGCAAGACTCTGTCGCAAACAAAACAAAAAGAATTAACAACAATTCCTACATCAGGGTAGTGTGCGAAATAAAAAGAAAAAAGAAATTTACAACAATCCTCAAACTCTTCCATAAGATAGAAGAAAAACACTTTACAACTCATTCTATGTGACCTGAGGCCAAAGTAACATACAGACCATTCCAAGAAAACTACAGACCATATCTTATATGAATATAGATGCAAGAATCCTCCACAAAGCACTAGCAAACCTAACCCAGCAACATATTATCAGAATTACACACCATGACCAAGTAGGAATTATTCCAGAAATGCAAGATTGTTTAACATATGAAAATCAATCAGTGTGGCACTGTGGCTCACCCTGTAATCCCAGCACTTTGGGAGGCTGAAGCAGGTGGATCACTTGAGGTCAGGAGTTCGAGACCAGCCTAGTCAACATGGTGAAATCTGTCTCTACTGAAAATACAAAAAAAAAAATTAGCTGGTTGTGGTGGTG